AAACACACTGAAACACTAAACTGAAGCATTCTGAAACACACTGAAACACTAAACTGAAGCACTCTAAAACACACTGAAACACTAAACTGAAGCATTCTGAAACACACTGAAACACTAAACTGAAGCACTCTAAAACACACTGAAACACTAAACTGAAGCATTCTGAAACACACTGAAACACTAAACTGAAGCATTCTGAAACACACTGAAACACTAAACTGAAGCATTCTGAAACACACTGAAACACTAAACTGAAGCACTCTAAAACACACTGAAACACTAAACTGAAGCACTCTGAAACACACTGAAACACTCTGTAACACCGATCCAAACACCCTGAAATATTATGGAAACTCAGAAGCACATCAAATATATCCCAATGAAGCAGTTCATCCGGTCCATCCCAGTGAAGCGGTGCATCCTAGTTCGGCCGCCGTGCTGAACTGGAGCTCACCCTCCTGGTTCCGGATCAGTTCGCAGTGGACAACCCGGCCGGAGCTGCAGCGGACCGAGGCTCCTCTTGAAGCCGGATTATCGAACACAAGAACCGGCTGAAGGAAGACTGAACCATTCCGAGCTAAGTCAGCCTCCGTCCAAGATTCGTATCGGAACATTTCTGGGTCTTCTGAGCCATCTTGGTTTTCCGGGTTGTGTGACGGTTCGGGCTCAGTGGAAGCTCGGTTCTTGATGCCTCGGAGGCCCCGGGGAGCTCAGACTGCGGAGCCCCGGAGCAGGGCTCGGACACCGGGGACGTACGGGAGGTAGGTGGGCTGTGGGAGAGGGACGCCTCCCGTCTGTGTAGGGGATGTGTTCGGGTCTGTCTGGGCCGGGAAGTGTGTGGATGATGGACCGAACCGGTCGGCAGCTCGGTGCGGAGTTTTTATGGACAAACCTGAAGGTTTTTTTGTGTTTGAGGAAGAAGCTGCTGGCTAATTGTTAGCATTCCATTGTCACCGCTGCTAACCGGCTGCATGAAGATATTAGAGTTATTTCACCTCACCGTGCACATTTAACGCACACGTAGAGGGTCGACCCGTCTTCTTGTGACATTTTAAAAACCATAATATAGTTTAACATTCTCTGTCGTTCACGGGTGTTGTCCCGTTAGCATTCTAATGCTAACAAGCGAGGTTGTTAGCATGTTAGCGTTAGCATCCCTGAAGGAACCTCAAAATGTCTCCGGTGACCGTCGCCGTGTTGTCCGGGGAAACGGAGTCAGACGTGGGCTAACGGGACCGACACCACCCGGTGGAGGTACCGGGAGCGGGGTGGCTAGTTTGGAACCGGTCAGCCCGCAGACATTTGGAAACGACCCTATTCGTCCTGTTGTTAGATGTTTTTAAACGTTTTACTAACTTTTTTAACAATTTACAGATTAAAAATCCAGCGTGACATTTTTTAAAATTTAATTTAACTTTCCTGTAATCTTCAAAGTAAATACCCTCAGATTAAAAATCTCAGAGTTTACATGTCAAGCAGCTACCAACGCCTGATAAACAACAACAACCTGTTTTAGATCTTATTGTTTTAAATAATTATTGCCATTTACTGTTATACTGTATGTTTTATATATTTATATATTTCTGAAGTCTTCATAATCTTGCTACTTGTTTTTATGACGTGTGCTGCTGCTGCCTGTTCTTGGCCAGGTCACCCTTGTGAAAGAGGTCTTGATCTCAATGGGTTTTTATCTGGTTAAATAAAGGTTTAATAAAAATAATTAAAAAACAGCGCCTGATAAACTATAAAACTAAATGATAAAATGTGTCCAGAGCAGATTATGGCAGAGAGAGAGTCTGATGTGGGTACCAACCAAAACAGCTTCTGTGTTCGATGTGTTTAATTGGAGACAGTTGTCCTTCATCCAGATTTAGCTCCTCTGACAGGTGAGAGGAGAGCGATGAACCTGTAGAATCTGGTTTGATATAGAGCTGCAAGTCATCTGCATAACAATGAAAAGATCCTGTGGTGAGCGATAGTGTGACCGAGGGGAGGACATTATTTAATAAAGTCAAAGTGAAAACAGGATTTCATGATAAAACCAGCACCATTTATTTATTTTTATTCTTTACTGATTTTAAAACAAACATTTTTTTATACATAAAATATTAAAATAATGAAATAAACGTTTCCAGACTCTCTGTCCTCCCGCCTGCCAGGGCTCAGAATCCGGCCTCTGTGAGCACACGAGGCCGGGGCTCGGGGTCCGGCCTCGTGTGGTTCAACGGGTCGGCAGCTCGTATGATCCTCCGCGGGGACTGCGCTCGCTCAAATTTTGTCGTCGGTCACCAAACACAAAAACATCTGGACTTCAACATTAAATACCTAGAAATGGAATTAGAATAGAATAATTCTAGAATAGTTCTAGAACTGCTCCGCTCCAGGTGGCTGCATGTTGGAGCAGCTCCGTTACTTTCATTCTGACATTTTGCTTTTAGAAACTTTAATTCCTCTTTTTCTGGATGTAAATCACATTTTCTGGATGATTGTTTCCTCTGGTATCAGATGCTGTGCAGCTGGAAGGATTTTTACTGAAACTGTTTTAGTTTTGGACATTTGTTATGATGTGTAACCATGGCAACAAGGCAGTTTTCTACAACCAACAGCTGATTAACATCTCAAAAACTCAAATAATATCTCAACTACAGCCCCAAATCTCAAATGAGTTGAAAGGATGTTCTGTGGAAGCATTCTCATCTACTTGCCAGCTGTGCTCGAGTGCCTGACCACTGAGATCCTGGAACTAACAGGAAACACGGCTCATGACAGCGGAAGGACAGGATCGTCCCTCGGCACCTACAGTTGGCTGTCCGCAGAGACGAGGAGCTCGGCAGACTGCTGGGAGGAGTGGCCATCGCTGTGGAAGGAGTTCTGCCCAGCATTCAGGCGGTCCTACAGCCCGGTGGAACCGAGAGGCCAGCCGAGTCTGGGTGGACAACAAAGTTGTCTCAGGACACTTTACAGAAACATTCACATAAAAGCCAATTAGTAAAGTTCTCTATCTAAGGAGGCCAGCCAATGAATAGTTTTCATTTGATACTATTTCTATCTTAACATGCGATTGTTGACCTGCCATTGTGTATCTATTCCTACCAAATCCAGTTGGTCCTCTTGTCCTGATCCTGGTTCTGCTAAAGGTTTCTTCCTCATGAGGGAGTTTTTCTTTCCACTGTCGCCTTCATGCTTGTTCAAGATGAGAGTTCAGTGATGGAGTTAAACTCAGAGCTGCTCCTCAGATAAATAATGTTAAATTATTATTTTATAGATGAATGTTTCTGTTCAATTATTATTTTATAGATGAATGTTTCTGTTAAATTATTATTTTATACATGAATGTTTCTGTTAAATTATTATTTTATAGATGAATGTTTCTGTTCTGTGCCTGAGACGACTTCTGTTGTGACTTGGAGCTTTAGAAATAAACTGATTGAATTGAAACTGAATAGTCCCCAATCCAGGTGACGAACGAATCGTTCACCTGCATGTCCAGGAGCTTACTGCAGAGTAGAGCAGGTCTTATGTTAAAAGCACTGGAAGTCCAAGAACCTGACTCTTACAGTGCTGCCTGCCCTGCCCAGGTAGACGATGGGTCGTCAACTCCAGTGTGTGGCAGGTATGCAAACTGTGGGGGTCCAGGTGTGGTTCCACCGCTGATCTGACGTGCTTCAGGACCAGCCTCTGCAGCGACTTCATGGCATGTGATGTCAAGGCCACAGGTCTGTAGTCACTGGGAGTTTGAGTGGTTCTTTTTCGGCACCAGGACCAGGCATGTTGTTTTCCTCTGGCAGAAATTTATTTAACCTTTATTTAACCAGTCAAATCCCACTGAGGTCACAGATCTCTTCTGTAGGGGAGGCCTGGGCCTTAAGGCAGACTAACATGCAGGTTTTTGGTCTGTGTGAAGAAACTGGAGTACCTGGAGAAACCCACGCAGCACGTAGAGAACATGCAAACCACCCAGAAAGACCCCAGATCCAACCAGGGATTGAACCCAGGACCTTCTTGCTGTGAAGCAACAATGCTAACCACTGAGCCATCGTGCTGCCAAATGTGCCAGAAATATCACACAGCTGAGCTGCACATCTGTTCAGGAGTTTGTGTCAATCCATCCGGGCCTGCAGACTTGCCTGAGCTCCAGCCTCAGGTCGTTTTCACAGCTGATAGTCCGGTGGACTCGGTTCGGTTCTGGACCAATATTCATGACCTTTTGTTACGTTTGAGCTGGTGCGTTTGCATTCACACTGCACTGTGCAGTCGAGCCAACCTGTTGAAGCAACCTGTTGAAGCAACCTGTTGAAGCAACCTGTTGAACCAACCTGTTGAACCAACCTGTTGAAGCAACCTGTTGAAGCAACCAGTTGAAGCAACCAGTTGAAGCAACCTGTTGAACCAACCTGTTGAACCAACCTGTTGAACCAACCAGTTGAACCAACCAGTTGAACCAACCTGTTGAAGCAACCTGTTGAAGCAACCTGTTGAAGCAACCTGTTGAAGCAACCTGTTGAAGCAACCTGTAGAACCAACCTGTTGAAGCAACCTGTTGAACCAACCTGTTGAAGCAACCTGTTGAACCAACCTGTAGAACCAACCTGTAGAACCAACCTGTTGAACCAACCTGTTGAAGCAACCTGTTGAAGCAACCTGTTGAACCAACCTGTAGAACCAACCTGTTGAACCAACCTGTTGAAGCAACCTGTTGAACCAACCTGTAGAACCAACCTGTTGAACCAACCTGTTGAAGCAACCAGTTGAAGCAACCAGTTGAACCAACCTGTAGAACCAACCTGTTGAACCAACCTGTTGAAGCAACCTGTTGAACCAACCTGTAGAACCAACCTGTTGAACCAACCTGTTGAACCAACCTGTAGAACCAACCTGTTGAACCAACCTGTTGAAGCAACCAGTTGAAGCAACCTGTTGAAGCAACCTGTTGAACCAACCTGCACCAAGAACTACTGAAAGAAACGACACAAAAACCTCTGAAGACACGTCTTCTTCTTCTTCTGTAAATAAAAATAAAAACGAAGTGGCATCAAGTTTTATCAGTTTTAGGAGTTATATTTTGTCATTTTTCAACAATGGACTCAGCATGAGCAGAAGATGAGACAGAAGACCATGGAGAATATTGTTTTCCACACAAGTCAGCTGACGGCTCCATATGAGAGAAATGTGTGTTTGTTTGTCCTGAGGAGCGGGTCCGGTCTGTTTACATTCACACTGTACTGGAACCACTGGAGTTCTCTTCTACCGGACCCAGACCTAGGTTTTAGCCCGGGCCAGAGTTCACCTTTTTGTTCCGTGACAGAGTTCGATGGCACGTTCACACCTCCCTAAAGGAACCGGACTTTCTAGGAAAACGAGCTGGAGTTGGATTAAAGTGACTAAACAGGACTGGTGTGAACGCAGCCTCAGTTTCCCTGCTGGGGGTGACTGGTGGCTCCGACATGAAAAAGACAATGATGGGGGAGGGGTGTTAGTTGGAGGGGGTTGAAGCTGGGGTCCATGGTGATGAGGAGGTGGGGTGGAGTTGTCTAGGAGGTGTGATGACCCCCGGGGAGGTGTTGGTGGTGTGGGTGTGGGATGAGCAGTGTCCACAACATCAAACCTGTTGAAGAACTGGTTTAACTGGTTGGTCTCCTCCCATCACTGCTGCAGACGTTTTCTGACCAGTGGTTCTTCTCATCCCATTCCACAACTCCCTGGTGTCGTTTTGGGCCAGTTTGCTCTCCAGCTTCCCCCGTACTGCTCCTTACCCTCCCTGATCTTGTCCCTCACCTCAGTCCCCCCCCCCCCCCCTCAAGGCAGCCTTCTTCCTGTTCAGAGCTGCCTTGATGTCTTTGGTGACCCAAGGTTTATTGTTGGAAAAGCAGCACACTGTTTTGTGGGGATTATATTCTCTGTGCAGAATATAATCTGTAACAGATGTGCATCACAGGAAACATCCCAGTGAGTTGCCTGAGAGCAGCCTGCAGGGTCTCCATGGCCTCCTGTGGTCACCTCCATACAGTTGTTGTGGTCACTGGCTGGACTGCAGGGATGAACTGGGGCTTGAGGTAAACCAGGTTGTGGTCTGATACGACAACGATCCATCACATCGTTGCTCTTTTGTTTGTACGTAGTCTGTTTATTATCGCCCGCCTTTGCTCTCTGACCATGTTTATGCACGTGTTTCATTGTACATCTGTCTGTTAGCAAAATTTCTCATGCATCACTGGATGAATATTAAAACTTTTTAAATAATCATTGTATGAACTTCTACAACTGATTAAATGTTGATGCTGACCCCGTTCAAGATGTCTGCCACAGTCAGTCTCTCAAGTCTTCAGCTAGTTTTGTTGTGGCAGTAGCCGAGAGTGAGAAGGAACAACCTCGCGTTACGTTTTAAGATTAGAATCATAAGATGAGCTGAGACTAAAACTCTGGCGGCGGGTGATAGGCATTCCTTTAAGGGACGTCAGGCTTGGTCTCTTCCTACTAGACTTTCATATATCAGAGTCAGAGATTCTTTATTGTCGTGCACACCACGTGGTGGAACGAGATGATGTCCACAGGGTCCAGTTACATCCAACAATAAAATATAAAATAAAAACAGTGATAAGATCAAAGATATGAACTAAGAACAACATCAACTAAAAATACACCAAGCATAAAAATATTATGTTGAACAGCAGCACGAACGTGAGTCTGAGTGAGCAGATGAGCAGGAACACATCAACCTGAAACAGATCAGCAGCAACATGAAACAGATCAGCAGCAACATGATGTGATTATTCTAGTTAGAGATTCATGAGTCTATCAGCCTCAGGGTAGAAGCTGTTCCTCAGTCTAGTGGTTCTACACTTAATGCTCCTTAACCTCCTTCCTGAGGGGAGTGGGGCAAAAAGTGTGTGTGCTGGGTGAGTGTGGTCCTTCATGATGCAGGTGGTCCTCTTCCTGCATCTGGAGGTGTAGATGTCTGTGATGGTGGTGTGGAGACTGACTCCAACATCTTCTGTGCAGCCTTCACCACTCTCTGCAGAATCAGAATAATTTATTCAGGATTGTGTGAGACCTGTTTCTCACTCTGAAAGAAGGCGCGTCACCTGACTCAGGTGTTTCAGCTGCAGACTGGTCTCTGCTGGGAGTGTCCTGCTGGTGGGAGTTGTTGGTCCAGTTTGGTTAAATGACCAGTTTGTGGGTTAGAAAGTCAGGTTTATTTAAACCCGCAGCTTGTTTGCTGATATTTTACTGATTCATTTAACAGCCATATTGTTTTGATTCTCTGGTTGAACTGTTAAATAAAAAATTATAATTTGTTCAGAATAAAAATCTGAGCTGTTGGTACCCAGAAGGTTTCACGTTAAGTCAGTCACCTGAGAGACTGCAGCTCATCGTTACTAACACACACACACACACACACACACACACACACACACACACACACACA